TATGACTTACTACGCTTATTCGCCCAATAAGTTAATAACAATAACAGACGTCACACGACGAGCGGGTACCAATTTGGTAGCAATGATTGTTTGGTTCACACCGCGCTTATTTACGCTTCCATATCTCATGTTTTTTATTATTTTGTGTCTATGCTTCGCGTCTTTGGTAAAAGCCGAATTAACGCCAAGAGTTAGCCAATAAAACTTGTTCTTTCATCACAAACCGCCAAAGATACCCCCAATATTAGTGTACCGTTTAAGGAATTCTATTAGACATTCAGTCGTGGCTTGCTCAAATACACTGCTGTGTGAACAGCTCCAAGCTTTACTAATTACTAGCGTAGAAAGCTGGCGGCAAATGTGACGCTGGTAAAGCTCGAAACTTAGCCGGCGAAGCACGTGTGTGGTCGGCAAGGCTATATAAACCAGGTAGAACGCTCCGGGAAAAAAGTTGGAAACAATAAATTAGTTGCGGCATTCCCTGATGACGCGAATGTGGGTCAGCGGCCGGCGGCCGGCGGCCGCTAACACTGTATGAGGATGAATGCACGGAACTTTTGCTTGTTGGAGATTGCGCTAGGCAGTTAAATGTTAATGTTAGGATATGTTTCGAAAGTAAATTGAACGACGCTTCGAACGCCGTCAATGAATTTGCGATACGACGACTATTTGTTTAGTTAGAGCCGGCGAACTTTTACCTTCCGACCGCGCGGGGAGGCGATATGGTGCCACACTGACGGTTTTTACGACAGCTCAAAATTCTTTTGAGCTAAAGAGCTGAAATTTGGCATGTCCAATCTTTTGATCAAGCTGGATCTTCTGGTACAAGTCGCATATTTAGGGTACGTCAGGTTGTTGAGCTATGTTGTCGCTCGTGAGCCTCTACACAGTCCAAAAACAACACAATTTCTGAACACTCAGTGCCAAGAAATCCTTCACAGAAAGATGACACTTGGCAGAAAGAATTGTTGTCGGTTTCTTACCGTTCGTATGTATCGTGTTTCAGGGGCGGATCCAGAAAATCTCCAAGGGAGGGGCCATTAGAAACCAGGAGGCCCCCCCATAATCCCACCTGTTGGAGGCCCCATCTTCCCACTTGTTGGCCCCCCCCCAAAAAAAAAACTGCGTCTATTGAGCTTATCTAGCTGTTCAGGCAACATCTCAACATCTGTGCAGGCTTGGAGGCCCTCTGTGCAGGTTAGGAGGCCCTGTAAAAGTGGTCATCTCTGTGAGTATAAGAGACCTCCAAGTTATGAAAAGCTTTACCAATCTTCTAACAAAGAAGTCTTCTCAGCTAGTCTTCTAAGAAATAACTAAGTGGGTAGGTTAAAAAAAAACTCATCGGATTTCGGTCACTTTATTTTCAGGAGGCCCCCTTTTCAGCTTTTTAACTTTTTAACTTTTTATTTCATTTTTGAAAAAAAATCGGCCAAGGGGGGGGGGCCATGGCCCCCATGGCCCCCCCCCCCTTGTATCCGCGCCTGTCGTGTTTTCACAAGAGTTTAGTAAGGTCAGGTCCCTCACGTCACCTCCCCTCATAACTCAATAGGACTAGGTTTAGGTACTATCATAGAAGCGTTTATCAATCGCCGGAAATCTTATCCAATCCTACTGGACACTGGATCCATTCCCACATGGGGCCCTCCTGACTGGCCACTCCCTCTGAAATCCACAATAACATTGGGCTGCGGCCATGGTTATGTATTAATGCTTTTCACTAACAGAAATACACCAACTTCAACCAGCACAATGCACGCCGCCACAACAGTCCGACCAACGTCCCTGATATCGACTAGCACTCGGCCGGATGCACATATGCGGAGCCAATCAGTCCGAATGTGACCTGCAGCTTACAATTGCTGTGTCGCATGGCGCATGGCACAGGACGATTCCTAGCAGCTGTCGGCTGGAGTGGAGAAACAGCACGTTGCGACACACCGCGCCGGCGACAGAGCTCAGCAGGGCTGGTTGGAGGCTGGAGCCGGAGGTAAGGGCGGACCCAGGCACAGACATTGCAGGACAAATAACAGGATGTCAGTTAGGAATATAACTCAAAACGAATGATTCAAGACGGACTGAAATAATGCACATTTTGCTCACTTGGATACCAACTTCAAACTTAAGACGTTTATAGCACCACGGAAACAATGGCCACACAGGAAAGAAACAAAAGATGAGGTGTTTTTAACTCAAAGTAGTTAAATAGAGGTTGCATATGATGGAACAGCCCGAAGTGCAGACAAGCACATATTTTTGGTAATAGCTATCAGCTGTCCTACTCCTCTTCTCCCTTTATCAACTACTGGACACATCTGAGGAAGCACCAATGTCCATAACAAAAGCTTGCAGAGTAGTTTTATGAAGCCAAGGGAAATATGCCTACATCATGAATGTAAACTCAAAATTACACATGCATGACAAAGGAAGCTTATGTAAAGAGAAGAGTTGGCAAAAGCATTTCATAGTTAAAATCATTCAAAACTGCACACAGGGCAAACATAAAAAGCAGCAAGTGTTCTGTTCTGTTATGCTAAGAAATAGTCCAAAACAAAATACATCTTTTTATGTTTGAACTGGTTGTTCTTCTATGCCACTTCATCCATATCTTGATTACAGATCATGGGCTGTTGCTGTAGCCTGTAGGCTGATGAAGTGACACTTGATTGTCTTTGTGCGAGTTTCAGTTGCAGCCTCCTGGGTACTGCACTGGAAAGCAGATTGAATTGAATGCCTCTGAAAGATAAGAATACAGGCAAAGTTAGCTGTAGTAGTGTCAATGATAATAGACATGACATTTTTGTCCTTTGACATACATTTGTTGAAGTACAAAAAGGTACAAAATAAATTGGTTTGTTTCAAGACACGCACACTGCACAAAGCCGCACAGACATTACACCTAGGGATATGAAATTGGTACACATAAAACTTGATGATTAAAAAGGTCAAAACTCGCAATAATAATTGAAGTAAAAGTTACAATCACAATCATTTGATTTGAAATGACTTGACATCAGTCACAAGACGCAACGCTCCTATTCACTTAAGAAAGGTTTTTATGATTTCATTATCCTCCACATATCAACCAGCTTGCTACCAGGCTGTGCAATAGTGTGTATATAATCCCATGTTGCCATTTTATTAGAGCAAGTGGGGTTACAACAACAATGCTAATGTCAAACCCACATCTGCAACCCGTACTGCAGTTTCAATCTCCTTACAAGCACACCTTCTGGCAGTTTGATAGACAGAATGGTCATTACTACTTTCTCCTCATATTCAACACGTATTCCCTTTATGCAGATATAGTTTAGACCTGGTTATGGCAAGCATTTTCGAGAAAAGATATGATTAAAGTCAAAGACAAAGGTCGAGAGAAACAACACCAACATAAAACACCAACTATGTAGCACTAATACTGTCAAATACATAAAAATATATACATGAGTCGATCAGAAATTCACTGTAGATTTCGAAAATGGTGTCAAATGCCACTCAAATACCCCCATTCGCATGTACGAAGCAATAAAACACTGACCTTCAATTCCGCGTGCCATTCTCCATAGGCCACTGTGTATTAAATAACGCGTTCACTGATAGCAAAAAATGAGACCCACATATGACGCGTTTGCTACCAGCCAATCAGCGCTCGAGATGCCGAACGCTGATTGGTGGAGAGGGCCGTCGTTAGCAGTCCATTACACGTTGTTTTCCTTGAACATGTGCGTGAGCGCTGATGCTGCTCACGAGTTGTTGCCATTTTTCGTAATGCTGAAGGCACGGGAGCGAACCCCCCTGGTGGTCGGTGTGGTTCAAAAGATATAGGTAAGATGTAGGTATAATAGATATACCGGGTGATCATTTGGGAATGAGATAAAGTAAGTGGCACGTGCAGATGTGTATTCAATAGCACACCAGACGAAAGACACATCATTAGACTCGTCATCGTGGGACATTTTGTACTGCACACTATTATACACCTGCAAGCCACTGTTTTCATCTACAGCAGGTGCTCAAAGTGGCCACCCCCTTCTGAGCGGCACAGCTCAGCCCGACGGCGTGTGTGACGCGCCATCTTTCGCAGCTGCTCTTCGTCCATGTTGCGGGCGAAGTCCTCAACCAGTTCCTTCAGCTGTTCCAGCGTTTGGGGCTCGCTGCGCACGATCTGAGCCGTCACCAATGACCAGAAACAAAAGTCCAGACAAGACAGGTCGGGACTGTACGGCGGCCATCGGTGTTCACTGTTCCGGGAGATGACGCGGCCGCCGAACTTCGAGTGGAGGAAGTCCATCACGGGAGCAGTGACGTGCGGCGGCGCGCCGTCCTGCTAGAACCAGTACTGGTGGCGCGTCGCCCGAGCCCTCACCGCAGGCCACACCACCGTCTGCAGCATCTCCAGGTAGGCGTCGCTGTTGACAGAGCCAGTGAACCAGTGAACTGGCAGGCACTTCCCATCCACCACGCCCACCCACGCCATCACCTTCTGCCCCTGGGCCTTCTTGCATGGCACGAGTTGTTCGGATTCTCTGGCGACCAGCACACGGTGTTCTTCATGTTTGGAGACGGATGCAGAACAAACCACTTTTCGTCACTCCAGAGTACACGCTCAAACCACTCCTCATCATGGGTTAGCCAGAATTCACAGGAGTCCATCCTGGCCATCCGCGTCATCTCCCGGAACAGTGAACACCGATGGCCGCCGTACAGTCCCGACCTGTCTTGTCTGGACTTTTGTTTCTGGTCATTGGTGACGGCTCAGATCGTGCGCAGCGAGCCCCAAACGCTGGAACAGCTAAAGGAACTGGTTGAAGACTTCGCCCGCAACATCGACGAAGAGCAGCTGCGAAAGATGGCGCGTCACACACGCCGTCGGGCTGAGCTGTGCCGCTCAGAAGGGGGTGGCCACTTTGAGCACCTGCTGTAGATGAACAGTGGCTTGCAGGTGTATAATAGTGTGCAGTACAAAATGTCCCACGATGACGAGTCCAAGGCCCTATATACCGACGAGTCTAATGACGTGTCTTTTGTCTGGTGTGCTATTGAATACACATCTGCACGTGCCACTTACTTTATCTCATTCCCAAATGATCACCTGGTATATCATACCAGGTAAGCTTACTTCTATGGTGTGATCTGTGATTGCCTTGGTGGCCCTAGTAGTAGTTGCCGCGCAGCAACGTGAGTTGTGAAAGAAAGACTCCAAGAAAACTCAAATATGTAGGATAATTAATAGAATAACCTGTTCAAAATTCCAAAAATTGGCAAAAGTTAAAAAAGCAAAAAAAGCACTTGTGACTTGTCTTCATTACGGAGGCGTTCCTTCATTTTTACATTTATAGCGCCACATTTGCCGTTAACATATATATCTGCATGTTTTTAACCCGCGCACCGACAGGGGTCTGCGCCAACTTCGCACCGACGGGGGGGGCGGATGACCCCCCCCCCCCCCCCGAGATCTCGAAAACGAAGCAACATAGCGACAAGCGGTAAACGGCATCGGATACACACGGACAAGGTCTACAATTTTTACTAAGGTCATTTTCAAATTTCAGGTCAGGTCAAAGATGACGTCACAGGGGTAAAAAAAGTCAAAATGGCGGCGCCATGGGCGCTATATATGGAGAGTGTTTTTCTCGAATAACTTTCGAACTAGTTACTGAGCGAGCGAAGCGAGCGTAGTCTTTCCTTAGATTAACAGAAATTTCTGAGTATGAGCGGCCGGCCGTGGTCACGCTCAGGCACGTACCCAGGATTTCGCCCAGGAGGGGGCCACCTGCTTTCGAAGGGGCCCCCCACAGTGTATAGGGCCCCCCAGGTTCCCCGGGGGCCCCCGGGAGTCATGAAGAACCTTTCGATGGTGGGGGGGGGGGGGCATAGTGGGTCCGGTCTCTCCTGCAGACGTAGGTGAGAAAACGCCACGTGTGTGGGAAAACGCAATTCAGTTCTTTACAACCTAATGTAGCATTTGGTTGTGATTTCTCGCGTTCAACTTCATCAAAGTCAATTAAAACGGTCTCTGTAACGGTCTAAGCCTTGAGAAAATGTGGAAAATTGGAAAGTAAAAATATTTTTGCTTGGGGAGTGTGCATGAAACGCACGGCATTTTATGAGCGAGCGCCTCAATTACTGAACATCCTCCAATTCCGGATATGTAGGTATATACGAGGGGCGTTCAAAAAGTTCTCGGCCCGACCATGAAGGAGCAGAGATACGATGTCGACTTATTAGACAAAAAATGTTCATTTAGTCAAATAACCAGCGTTAAGACAAAAATATTTCGCGCAGCGCTTCGCGAGAGGCTCCTGGGTCTCCATAGCCAAGTGGGTTTTGGACGCATCTGGCACGTCCAAGACGGCTGCTTTTGTCTCCTTGCTGTCAGCGAAGTTGCCACTGCTAAGCAATTTCCTTATGTTGGGGGAAGAGGTGGCAACCTGAGGGTGCAAGGTACAGAGAAAAAAGTGTCTGTGACAACAACTCGAAGTCACAGCTCACTGCTTCGCTGATCGTCACCCTGCTCATGTGTGCTGGTGCGTGGTCCTGGATCAGGCGCACACTTTTAGTCAGCTTCCCTAGTCTCTCCTTGATATCTGCTGCTCGCTACTGTTATCGAAGGGAGGTGTAGCATTCATCATTAATTGTGCGCCCCTGTTTTAGAAAGTTGACGAGCAGAGCCCCGCCATCATCCAAAAATGCAACCACTGTCACCTTGCCGTCTGACTTAAACACGTCGCACACATTTGGTGGCCTTTACTCAGTGTGCTTCCACTTGTGCAACTCGGTCACGCCCTGAGGGTCAATGTGTGACACCCACAATCCCTCCACGGTAACAAGTAGTTCAATGAACTCTTTTGGATCTTCGATATAGGGGCCAAAATTTTCGCGTTACGCCTCCTTTCGAGTTTCCCTTTCCTCTGGTGTCAGCAAACGGCGGATGCATCTTGCAGAGATCTTAAACATATTAATACGCTGTCGAAGAATGGCTTTGAGGAACCTGATAGACAACTCCGCTTCTGCTGCGTTGTTTCAGACCAGAACATTTGTCATTTTTCACAAAGAAGTGCTTATTTTTCATATTTTCTTGAGTCAATGCTGTTGATGGCTGGCCACTGCGGGGGTGACCATTAATGATCTGTTGACCAAAATTGAACAGAGATGCTCACTTTTTGACGCTACTGTAAGAAAGACAAACCTCAACATGTGTTGGCACTAGCTTTTCGTGAATAAGGTTTGGTGCATTTTTCTGCAATACATGAACCAAATCACTGTTCTCTTCTGGGCGTCGCCCATTCTGACCGGGAATAGCAAACTATGTTACGATTAATTGGCAGCCTGAACCAATCACAGGGCAGATTGGTTAATGGCTACGTAAGTGGACATCCCAATAACACATCATTGAACAATGAACACACCGCGTTGCAGGTCGAAATTCCAACTCCTTCATGGTTGGGCCGAGAACTTTTTGAACGCCCCTCGTAATATAATAGTGGGGAATAAATGTCTCGTTATCGGAATTCCACTATCTGGCAACTAGCCCTATGTTATATGTAAACGCGGCTATTATATGTTTCACTAGGAATCGAGCGCAATTGTACTTTTAGCCAGAAAATAAATGTTTGGGTAATTCTGGGACACTCTGTATTAATTGGAGGAATAGGACTTAGGAGGAAATGCGATTGCAAATCGACCCACATCCCTGTGTTAGCCAATGACGCATTTGGGGCCAAGGTTGGGTGTATTTAGTTTAGCCTTTTTGTTTTTCTGTGATGTCTCCGGCACCGTGAAAGATATTGGCTCCTTCAGATGAGTGCCTACTCCAGTCACTACTTATATCCAGTAGCCAGTAGCCACTCAGATGATTTGGGATCAATCAGGTGATAAGCGTACTTTCAGACGACCAGGGGCCCCCAGTCGACCAGGGGTTCCCAGGCGACCAGGTCCTCCAGATGACTAGGGGCCCCACTGCCCCAGGCGACCAGGGCCCTCCAGGCGACCAAGGGCCAATGCGATCAGGTCCTCAAAGCGATCAGGGGCCCCCAGGCGACCAGGGGGCCCCCATGCGACCAGGGGGCCCCATGCGACCAGGGGCCCAGGGGCCCCTGGTCGCTACCAGGGGGCTACCAGGGGCCCCCAGGCGACCAGGGGCCCTCTAGGTGACCAGCGGCCCTCAGGCGATCAGAGGCCTCCAGGCGACCAGGGGATCCCATGCTACCAGGGGCCCAAGGCGACCAGGGTCCACCAGGCGACTAGGGGCGACCGGGGGCCCCAGGCAACCAGGGGCCTCCATGCGACCAGGCCCCCCGGCTACCAGGGGCCCCCTGGGCGAGTAGGTACCCCCAGGCGATCAGGGGCCTCAATATCATGCAACCAGAGGCCCCCCCATGCGACTAGGGCCCCCTAGGCGACTAGGGGCCACAGACTATCAGGGGCCCATCCATACGACCAGGCCCCGGGCTATCAGGGCCCCCTAGGCAACTAGGGGCCCCCAGTCGATCAGGGGCCTCATGCGACCAGAAGCCACTCATGCGACCAGGGCCCCCTAGGCGACTAGGGGCCACAGGCTATCAGGGGCCCCCATGAGACCAGGCCCCCAGCTACCAGAGGCCCCCTAGGCGACCAGGGGCCCAGGAAAATGGGGGCCCTTGGATGACTGCAGGGGCCCCTCGGGTACCCAGGGCACATAAATGAAACTTCAATATCAATTTTTCTTCCGAGTAAAAGACGTTTTATCCAGTGTTAAAAAAAATATCCTGGGGCCTGAGGGGCCTCCTGAGCGCCTTCGGCGCTCAGGGGGGGGGGGGGCCTTGGCCCCCGTGCCCCCCCCCCTTGGGTACGTCACTGGTCACGCTTTTGCGAGGGTTATATCTCAGCAACCACTTGACCGATTTACACGCGGTAATTTTTGTAGGGTAGCTTCATTCCTTCTACCAAGTATTGGACTATTCCTGATGCATGTGGGTGACCCCTCATGCACGTGCCACGTGCAAAACGAAGAGGTGTCCGTTTTGTAATTGTTGCAATATCTCGGTAACTACTTGGCCGATTGCGCTGAAAGTTGGCATGTAGGTAGGCACCCACTAGGCAATGCATATCCATGTGCCAGAGTTGGGGTGCTGCTGCACGTGCGCACGTGCAGGGGTCGATTCCAGATCTCGAGAACGGCTGGACCGATGGCGCTCAAATTTGGTACATGGCTAGTGACCGGTTAGTAGGGTGCCGTGCAAAAGTCAGTTGGGACCCATTTTGCACGTGCGCACGTGCAGGGTGCCGCTTCCAGATCTCGAGAATGGCTGGGCCGATTGTGCCCAAATTTGGCACATCGCTAGAGACCGGTTAGTAGGATGCCATGCACAAGTCAGTTGGAGGTACCGCCTCGCAATTTCGCACGTGCAAGGCCCACCCTCTCGCTCGCTCCGTTAGTCGCCCCAAAAGGCGTTATACTGGTCAAGATAGAAACAATCTAAGGGCATCATCGTGATCCTCTCGTCAATCCGCATCGAATTATATATATGTTGACCTCGAAAGGTCAAGGTCAAAGGTTGACCTCAGGTCACGTGACCTCGAGGTCATCATGTAAAGCATTCGATGCGTCTTGACGAGCTGAACACAATGAGACCATCCGCGTGACTGTATCTTGTTCCTGTACGGAGTTATTGGCAAAAAACCTTTGGTGACCTTTGATGACGTCACATGACCTTACAGCTGCCCAACAGCAAAACAGACCTCAAGGTAGTGAAGGTTGATCGTATATGAAGTCATGTATGGTATATGGGGCCATTCCGATCCGTTTTAGTGGTAAAAACAGGGAGTTGATTTTTCCCCCATTGACTTATAATGGGGAGGTCGAGAAATTGACCTGACCTTAGGTCACCGATTTCAAAATTCCGAGATATACAAATTGTAGCTACTAATGACCTAATAACATCCTGCGACTTACAAAGGCCTCCGACATCTACTGTAGCTCTGGCACGGTGACAAAGTTGCAAAAAAGTGACTTGAGGTTGGGTCATTCAAAGTGACCTGGTGACCTGACCTTAAAAGTTAGGAGGTTCAAACTTGCACATCATGTGTAAAATTGATGAGAGAATAGTCGTACCAAATTTCGCGGCGCTACGCGCCGCGGTTTTCCCGCTATTCGCGAAAAACCTCAGGGGGGGGGGGCGGATATCCGCCCCCCCCCGTCGGTGCGCGGGTTAAATATAAACCTCGCGTCTAGGTTGAGATGTGTCTTCTAACTTACATCCACAGGATACGACACCGCTTGCACCTTCACATACTATTACAATTAACACTTGCACTATTAAGTGTTAACACACGCACCGACGGGGGTCTGCGCCAACTTAGTACCGACGGGGGGGGGGGGGCGGATGACCGCCCCCCTGAGATCTCGAGAACGAAGCAAGATAGCGACAAGCGGTAAACGGCATCAGATACGCACGGTCAAGGTCTACAATTTTTACTAAGGTCATTTTCAGGTCAGGTCAAAGATGACATCACAGGAGTAGACAGGTCACATTTTTTAAAATAAATTTAGTCCTAACCTTTTGATAGGAAGGATACACAAGGACAGAGCCACCGCTAAGCGAAGCTTGTTGCGGTGACCCTGCCCTCTACCCTCCGATCGCGCAATTCCAGTTCTATGGCAGAAATTAGAGTTTAAAGTTTAACGTGCCCACATAGCCGCTCACGGCCGGTCCCCTCAGACCTCACCTGGCAACGGCCTGCCACCAACCGCAACCATCATACCTGTCAGGAGGCCCATAAATGTCAAGCGCCCGTCGCGCTTTGAACCCGGACTGTTATAACCGGGAACGCGTGCTCTCACCACGTGGAGTCCTACGCTCTATCAACTGAGTTACGGGACCGGCACATCAGTACTATGCCTACCAAAAGTAGACACCCCACTGCCTGACAGGATAATTAAGTATGCAAACGAATGAATGAATTGAATGAATGCACGAATGAACGAAGTATGAATGAAAGGAGCCTAAGCATATAGGTGAGCAGTCGAATAAGAGAGAGAAATACACAATAATTGCTTCACATAAGAAGTGTGTGTGTGGGGGGGGGGGGGGTCGCTCAACAAATCGGAACACGTCTCATACCATACATACATGAGCCTATGATCAATAACCGTGTGGTATTCTAGCTTTTACCGGGGACACGTAAAGGTCACCACTACTTTACACGATCGTCCATGATGCCACGTTTGTGTTTAGTGCCGGTCGGTCGTCTCTGTAGGTAGGCTAGTAGGACATCTATTGGCTAGTTGCTGTTTGATTCAGTGTTTCATTATTTCATTTCCAGTCCTAGGTTGTTTACTCATGCTCCTTTCTTGTGCTTGTGAGTCATTAAGATATGCATTTCAATTTGTGGTGATGGGCACATATGGTCTGTTACTCTGTTGATTTCTGGCAGCTTAGTTAAGTGCATAGTTCTGGTGTTTTACAAATGGCCGGCTTATGATTATCTAAGTATCAGCATTCAAGTGAAAATTGCCCAGTCAGTGATTGAATCATGTTGAAAGTGATAAAAGTTGCAACTTGGTGATTCATTGTAGTGTGGTAAGTGGTAAATGAATCATGATTCTTGTTGCTTGGATTTGTTTATTTGTTATCCATGCTCCTTTTGCAGGCCAATAATGACAGATCCAGAGTCAGAGAATAAAGCTTTGGTGGAAGATCATAACAGACATGATATTCCTGAGCAGCTTCTAGCGCAGAAGTCACCTCCAGGACATGAGCCAGGCACTGGCTCTGTTGACAATAAAGGTCCTGTACAACAGGAGTATCCTGGCACTGCACCAAATGACATTGGCAATCAACAGCCTGTCACAGGGCCCAACGACCCCGCGTCTCTTTCGCTGTCAGCGGACACAACGAAAACACCAGCGCCGGCCTCTGCGGACCCTGTCGCCGAGGAGACCATACCATTCACATGCTGTGTGTGCGGTCTGAACGAGCAGTGTCACTACCGGGGCACGCGACCGCCGTTCTCGGGCTTTGTCCAGCTGACGGAGCCCGGCTATGTGATGCGGGACCCGTTCAGTGCGCGCGCCGCCTGCCAGCTGCCAGTCCTGCTCGGCGCCGACTGCACGCTGTGCGCCCGTGCCGTGTGTCAGGACGCCGGCTGTAGTGTGTTCTACACACGCCGCTTCTGTCTCCCGTGCGCCAGGGAGCGAGCCGCCGAGTTCCCACCGCAGCTGAGAGATAAACTGGGCACGTGATGGCTGACGGCTGACGGCGAGGGCTCGTAACCGAGAGCTGGAGCTAAAAGAATGGAGAAAAAGAATACTTGATGCTGGATTAGTGGGTGCTCTTTAAAGATATCTGATCACTAAGAACTGGTCGGGAAGATAACTACAGCGGAGTGTCGTAGCTCATCGTCAGCGGTTGCGCAGTAACCAATAACCACTTGTACTGTGTTGTGCTGAGTGCTGTGCAGGGCGTTGATGTTTCATTTCATCAGTGTTGTGTTTCATTTATGCTGGGCAGTGTTGTTATGTTGGGCATGTTAGGCAATCGAAAGTCAATCATTTATCTTTTTTATGTCATTTCACGATTACATCTCAGCCCCATTTTTGACACTCATGAAAACAGTTTGAATGATGACGCTGTTATTCATTGTCGTGTTGATAGTCACCATTATTGACTGATTGGCCCACCACAAGGCTTTGTCATCCATCTCAAACTGAAACTATTGGCTTTTCTCGACTTGTATAATGCTGCCTGAAACGACTTTTGACTTATGTGTTGTGGCTGTGAGCTGATACCATTTGCACTCAGTTTTGTTAATGCAAATACATAAACCAAAATAATTTCGTCTTACCAGCTGAGGATGGTACAAACTACAAAGCACTGACTGAAAAAGTTATACCTGCATTATATGAGCAAACAAATGACGGTCATTTAGATAACGTGCTGCTAATAATTTGTAAGGATATTAATGTGTCCGTGTCCTATCTTTCGCTTCTGTTGCGCGCTTTGGTGTCCTGACTGATCCATCTTGAAGACGACCGCTTTGGATTCCGTTATTAATTATTAAACGTACAATCTCTCTCCCACAGATACTTAGCGGCGCAACATGTCCAAGGGGGGCCTGGACAACTTTCATCGGGCCAACTATCTGTACCAGCTGGCATGGGCTTCAATGCGCGTCCGGCCCGACCGGCGTGCTACATCACACCACTTCTCACACATGCTCATAGAGTTCGCCCAGAAAGCTGTGCTGCGGATGGACAGAGAGATGAAGCGGACCGTGTGCTCTGCGTGCCACGTGCTGCTCGTGCCGGGTACCACGTGCACGGTGCGCACGCGCAGCCGACCACAGCGCTGTCAGGTGTGGCGGTGCAGCGCCTGCGGCCAGTGTCGCCGCTTCCCCGCGCCCCGACCCCCTGACCGGCGCCGCGGAGGGCACGGCGAGGGGGTGACGAAGAACAGCGCAGCGACGGAGGAGGTGCAGCGTGAACAGATGGACCGAGGAGAGGGTGGACCGAGTGGAAAACAGGCCACGGGACCGTGTGGAAATCAGGCCACAGGACCGAGCGGAAAACAGGCCACAGAACCGAGTGGAAACCAGGCCACAGGACCGAGTGGAAACCAGGTCACAGGACCGTGTGGAAACCAGGCCACGGGACCGTGTGGAAAGGAGAGCGCTGGTCCGAGAGGAGAGCAGTCTTCTGGACCGAGTGAAAAGCAGAATACTGGTCTGAATGGAAAGCAGAGTACTGGTCCGAATGGAAAGCAGGGCGCTGGTCCGAGAGGAGCTTTTCCCGCTGGTCCGAGAGGAGCTTTTCCTGCCGGTCCGAGAGGAGCTTTTCCCGCTGGTCCGAGTGGGGCTTTTCCCGCTGGTCCGAGAGGAGCTTTTCCCGCCGGTCCGAGAGGGAATTGGAACGCCGGTCATACAGGAAGTTGGAACGCCGGCCCGAGAGGGTATGGGAACGTCTGTCCGAGAGGGAATTGGAACGCCGGTCCTACAGGAAGTTGGAACGCCGGCCCGAGAGGGTACGGGAACGCCGGTCCGAGAAGAGGTTGGAACGGAGCTCCCAGTGGAGGGAGGACTGCCGGTCCGACCTGGAAAGCAGGACAGTCGTGGAGACCGGCCGGCCCGAGCAAATGATGGGTGATGTACCGAGGAGAGCTAGTCTGGCTTTGGTATCGCGAGCTTTCACCCGCTGATTGGTGTCGTCTTTTGATCAAATTATTTTTTGGTGCCTCGAAAATCGAGTCACATATGAACTGTCCGTTCACTTTTTATTATTTAGTTTCGGTAGTGTGATCTTAACTAACATTGAGCCAAATAATCCATGTTAAGAATCTTAAATGACTATTGACTAGCATTCAGATATATAAATTATTTAATGACTCGTAATGAACTGTGCCTCAAGCGGTACTAGCGTTGTTCAATGATCTTGTGTTTGTTACCTGTTGTCATGCGTTCATATAAAATCTGTCAATGAAATGTCTGATTCGCTTTCGGCTTCGTAGGACGTAGCTAGTGGAGCTTTTAGCTAGATGCCTGTAGATAGAACCAAGTAGCAACTAGAAGTCCAGCAGCTAGCTCGTCGTTTCCGATCTCAGCAAACCTACGCCAGTGTCAGTCTGACGCACTGTGAGAGACTGTGGCTCTGGCAAACCCAGCGTCTGAAGCCAGACGGCCGGGTACTATGCCCGAGACCGCACCGTGGTGTAGCCGAATCACGCCAACTAATAACAGACGGCTACATGCCGACTATGAAGTAGAATTGTTTTCGCACGTCCTCTTGCCGAAGTTGGGGGTAGCGATTTTGCATTGGATGCACAATGCAGTAGTTTGATCTATTGGGACTGGTGGCGAGGCTTTGAAGGTTTCACTTCTGATCCTGCCGGTAGATGTCGGGTTCGTCGTATTACTGGCTCCGAGAACACCGGCACAACAGGCGTCGCTATTTGAGAGGTACTGCCATCCATTCTTATCAGGTACCAGCGCCCCTCAATGGTGATAGGGTAGTTCCCCGCAAGCCCAGAAGCAGGACATACACTGCGCGACCATGCATATATTAGGGGCTCGCTATGTTGATGCACACTCCACAGGAACCTCGTACTAAATATGCAGACACTGAAAGCAGTTCTCCTATATATGCACTCTACGTTTGTCCGATTGGGGCCACACAACCGGGTGGGCCCCTCTATTCCTATGAGCTAGACAAGGCGCTGATAGTCCCTCTGCTCTCGGTGGTCCCCCTCAGTTTCGAGAGAGTTCAAGCGAGCCGCTAGCTGGCACATCAGTAGGTCGTACCAATTACCAACCCTTAGTCCGTACATTTTCTTCCCATACGTGCTTGAGCGAGTAGCTGCTATAGACCACCTTAGTCAGTATGTACTGTAGATCATATATTCATGAGTTCGGGTGAGTCGCTGTCACCCCGACGGGTCATGTTCTCTGGTCGCCGTCAGTGACGGTTAGTCGCTGTTTGCCGTGTCTGCGGGCGCCCTCTACCGCCAGCGTCTCTCTCCCCGCTCGCTCGCAGTCACTCCCACGAAGTCCGCCCGCCGCGCCGCTGGGCAGGTCGTTACCGGCCACCCCTGCCCTACCCTCGAGCTGCTGACAGAGTCAACACCGCCCGCGATGACTTGGGTTTCACCGCTCGCCCCGCGGAGGCCCGCAGAGGCTCCCGTCGTGTGACCTCTGAGATCAACCGGCGCCACCGATGACTGTTTTATTTATGAACTTAGCACTGCACCGAGGTGCATTGCGCAGTGGTTCTAAATAAATGGTGGCAACTTTATCACCAGATATCGTACCGTCGCACACATGCAAGATGTCAACGGCTGTCGTCCAGGAATTGGCCGTCCTGCCACCGCACACTATGGTTGATCGAACTCTGTTTACTGACGTGACCAGTGACTTTGTGATGGGACGGGCTTTGTGTGTAAATGAGCAGTGCAGCCGGGAGGGGCGGAGGGCGGGCTGGGTCTGGACGGTGGAAGTCCCTCTCCTTGTTCATGTTCAGACTCTGAAACTCTCCCCCCACCAGCTTAGCCCGAATCTGTGGCCGCTCGCCACGGTTTGGCCAGTTTTCGGGCCTCTGTCTTCGTCCATGTGGATTGCAAGGAAAGCTACGAAGGGAATTATGCTTAATTTCAAACTATAAACTGAAGCGATGAAATTCTCGCAGTCGAGACTGCAGCTGTGAGTCGTCCAATGAACATTTGTTGAGATTTCCTGTGTGTCGACGTCTCTCACATAATAGGCGGTTCATCGTATCGATACGGTAACGTGATCACCTACTCGTAGTGAGCACAATAACGCCTAGAAAAAAGATGGAACGTCGTGCAAGCACAATGCTATTGAAAACTTAGGAAAGATTACGTTTTTCGCGGGCCTTCAAAGATGTGGGGTTTCGGAGTCTTGATCACGATACATCTGTTCTGCTAACGGAATCTGTGCATAAATATTTGCGTGAAGTCTGGTATGTTTTCGTCAATCGCTCATGCCAAAGTGTAGTCTTCTCATAACACCTGATATGAGGGATAGTGAATGTTATGGTAACGTGCACACACTCTGGTGGTGTGGCGGCACGCCCTGCTGAGCCTGCAGGTTACACTTTCATTCAACTTTGAATCGGTACAGTTTACGTGGTGATTTTATGGCATGCAACGTCACCAGCCCGTGGCGTCGGTGAAGTAGAATCGTCCTTCGCCACCAGTTCCTCTGGAGGGGAGTAGGTGTCCTTCCAGCGGTCGGCTGCACCGTCAGCCAGCCGCTGCAGCTGTGGGCCTTTGTGGGAGTGATGCAACTCGGTCCACCCCCACCACTGACCTCGCCCCCCCCCCCCCGTCCTGCGTCCTGTCGCTGGGCACGTCAGATACCGTTCACCGCGGCCGGCACAGCGGCGACGACAGCGCCGTCCGCGTGATCAGCTCAATTTCGTCCACTGTTCATCCCCGGCTGGGTCCGTTCCGGGAGGGGAGGAGGACCGCTGCCGAGCCTTGCACTGGACTGGCGCAGGGTGCGGGAACCGAGGCCCGCCTGGCGCTCGCTGTTTGGCCTTGTCTGATTGCTGAGCGGTCACAGCCGGCGTGCGGTGGAGGACGTTTCTCGCGAACAGTCTGGTGTGGAGGCCGGTTTTTGTATCTGCCGTGCGCTGCGCGCTGCGTCCGCTATCACGGGTTGTTAGTGTAAAATGGCCCGCTGGAGGCCTAGTGGAGGTCCCGCGGGCCGGTCGGTTCATGCCTCGAACTCAGGTCAGGCCGACGTTACGGCCTGCCAGTATTATTTACTAATTTTGGTTCGTGTGCACTGGAGAGCTTCGCGGTACGGTACAGGTGTCCGCAGTCCCCCACAGCCGCTTTCTCTGCCTCTTGGGTCACAGTGTGGAAACGGCAACGATAGATAATGCTTGAACGGCAGACCGAGGTGACCGCCACCGTCCAGCTGTAAAGAGTTGACGTGTGAGCTGCACCAATTTCAGCAGATTATGAAGATAAACGACTTGTGGCGCTCCACCCAACTGTCACTGCAGTTTATTTCTCCTTGCGACCAATTACATAACGAAATGGTCCCAGAACAGCCTGGAGCCATGATTCCAGGAGCGGTGGCGAGTATGCATTAATGCTGTGCAGTGTGCACAGAGTCACCAGGTCCTCTCGGAAAGCATGCCAATTGAATGACGCGCGTCGTTGCATCACATTCACACGCCACCTACCTTGCAACAGTAGGTATGTAAATTAATCATGTCAGAAAAATGCTGATGAAATAGCATATTAAGTACGTGCGCTCTGCGCCACAAGCTTTGAATAGATTAGAATTAGATTAGATAGAATAGAGCTTTGTAGATTGTCATATAGGTCAAATACAAAAGCTCGAATCCTGACTTCTGTTACGAGACTGCCCCCAATTGTCCTAGTTTCTGCTATACAGAACCAGATCAGCCCCGAATCAGAGATTACGTACACTGGTCGCGTTATATTCACTTAAGTGCGTAACGAGTGAGTTCAAGTATCTAACGACCAGTGCGGCAAGTATCAGATGACAATGTGACCATTTTAGTTCAAGTGCTAGCACACAACAATGACGGGTACAAGAGGAAGTGCTCGTGTCAATCAAGCACGGGGAAGGAAGAGGAAAGTCTGTGCTCGTAGCAATCAAGCACCGCGACAGGGGAGGGAAAGGATACCAGAGAGTCGCCCTGGCGCTGTTACCGAATCGTTGCCATCAATTCGGACCACAGGTAAGGAGCGGGGAGGCGACAGCGAGCTCACCTGGCAGAGTCCCGGTCTCCACTGACCGCCAGGCCAAAACGAGCCTCGGCCCGAGCCGAGGTCACGGGCACAGACCAATCAACGTGCAGCACGTACATCGCCGTTCGCATCCGCATGCGCACGCGCACGCGCACGCGCACGCGCACGCGCACGCGCACACGCACAGACAAAAACACCCATCACCGACAAAAGCACGGAAACGACGAGACTCGAACTCGCTTCACCATAGCATCTCACAATGCGAACCCGGCGCCTTAACCACTTGCGCCACCGTTCCGCGCTGCTACGGCACCATCGTGCCACGGCAAGCGGAGGGCACCGTAACACTATCCCCTCCCCAACAAGTTTGCGACCCGCAAACTATCCGTGCGCACGAAATTCAGGATCCTTGAACAATTCATAAATTAAACATAAATACCAAACCATAGGCACTATCAGAACAGATACAACTCTTCACTTGGAGGTCAGCCACGTTGGGAAGCCGGGTAAAAGGCGTGCATAACCTTCCTCCGACAGATGGACCCCATCCACTCGAAAAAAGTTCTCATTTCGCACCAGGTGGCGGCTCCGTCTCCTGGTACAGAGACGCCGCCCGAGCGGAAGAAGGCACACGTCGTCCATATCCGCGATGAATCTACCGACATGGCGCTCCAGATGATACGCAGGTGTCTGCTCCCAGGGTCTCCCCAGGTCCATGCGCCGAGGCAACGGTCCCAGGATCAGAACGGTCCGCGCCACGACATGAAGAGCCGCGATGGTCCCCGTCACCACCTCGCGGAGGGCCTCACAGCGTGCAGGAAGACCGCTGATGGCCGCCGATGTATGTCGGCGGGGGTAAACATCATTTCCTGTTAACCAGATGACAGCGCTGCCCACCTCAAGTCCACGGTCCTCAGCTTCTGATGTCCAAGACCGAACATGCTCCGACGCAGCGTCGAGAAGAAGCCTCCAGGTCTGGCCGCCCTGAGCTAGTGATAGGAGTTCGTCGGGCTCCTTCACCGTGACAGGGGCGTCCCTGGCAATCGAATCGCCGCAGATCATGTGCAGGCGCCGTGCATCACGGAAGGCCCTCGGAGGCTGCAGTTCTCGTAGCCATTCCAGGTCGGTTTCGTCCAGCTCTAGGTCGTCCTGAGCAGGGGCAGCCGAAAGGATCTCCTCCAGCAAATCCATCCTGAAGAGAAGAACATAAAACGGCAGAAAACATGCAGATGATGACAC